TGCAGCCCCCCCCTCCTTGCCCCCGGGCATCTTTCGGCTCCTTGTCCCCCCTTCCCATCTCTCAGCAGCCACACAGCTGAGCCCCTGCCCCCGGCCCCGGCCCCGGCCCCTCCTGGGGGCAGATCTGGTTCCCACAAGCATCCCCCGTGGCTCTGGCCCAGCTGTGCGTCCCCCCCAGGCCCTGCGGGCCGGGCCGGGCAGACAAAGTGGGCGGCTCCGGCCGGGTATTTTTAACCTGTCTCGGGCCCAAGGACGGGACGGGGGCCAGCTGGGCCTGTCCGTCCGGCTGCCCTGGTCCGGCCCGTGCCTGCATGTGCTGGCCTTCGGGGGGGGGGGGGGGTGCATGACTGTGTATGCGTGTGTGTCAGAGCATGTGCAAGACACTGTGGGTGTCTGTGTGAGAGCATGTGCGTGGCTTTGTGTGTGCATGTGAACATGGCTGTGTGTGCCTGTGTATGCACTCATGTGCATGACACTGTGTGTGTGTGTGTGTCCTGTGAGGGCATGTGCATGGCTCTGCGTGCATGTGAGCATGTGTGTGCATGGCTCTGCGTGTCTGTGAAAGCATGCGCGCAAGCATGTGTGTGACTGAGTGCACAACTGGGTGGGCATCTGTGTGAGAGTGTGCGCATGGCTCTCTGCATGTGAGAGTGTGTGTGCATGACTGTGAGAGAGAGTGAGAGCCTGTGTGCTTTGTGTGTGTGAGAGTGTATGCACGACTGTGTGTGTGTGTGCACATGATTGTGCATCTGTGTGGGCAAGACGTTGTGTGTGCATGTGTGTGTGCGCGTGTCTGTATGGCTGAGAATGTGCGTCTGTGTGAGTGTGTGTGCATGACTGCTCTGTGTGTGTGGGAGCATGTATATGACAGTGTGTGTGAGTGTGCGCATGTGACTTTGTGAGTTCGTGTATATGTGTGTGCACACGTGTAGTATATATATATATATGTGTGTGCGTGTGTGCATGTATATCTATGTGTACATGTGTATTCTTGTATGCACATCCCTGAGTATATATATATGTGTATGTGCGTTCACATGCACGTGCTTGTGTGTTGGTCGCACTTCTAGTGCAAAGAGCGAAGGCTAGCCTTGGCCTGGGGGGATTCTGGCGCCCCCGAAGCGTCGGCTCCGTGACGCGCAGGTTCCAGCTGTGGGCAGCGAGGGCTCCGGGGCGGGACCGGGGCAGACACGTGCTTGGCCCCGCGTGGCAGAGCTGGGGGCGCACCCGCCTGTGATGTGCGGGGGCAGGTGGGGCCCAGTGGTGCAGGCTGGGTTGGGCCCCTCTGGGGCTGGTTACATGACATTGCACTGAGTGTGTGTGTGCATGTGCATATATATGCTTATATGCATATGTACACATATATACACACACGTGTGTGTATTGGATTGTAGTATAGGGCATTGTATTCCATGTGAATGTGCGTGTGTATACATATACGTACACATGCATATATACACACACGTGTGTAATGTGTGTGCAGAGTATGCGTGTATTACATTACGTTACATATACGTGTCTATGTTACGATACGTTCCTCGCACGTACAATAGAATATGCGACTTGTGTTCTGTAGCGTGGCATGGCCGATATCATCCCGCGTTGCACTGTATTCATTTCCATGAATTGCGCTGTATCAATAACAATGCAATGTCAGGCGATATATCATATTGTATGTGACAGCACTATATGATGTTACGTTACGTTACACGAGTTACAAGTGTGTATATTGTATTATATTATACTAATGGCGTTACATTATAACCGTGCATTAATTGCGTGGGGTTACAGTCCAATCCAGTCTAATCTCTCGTATTCTCTAGCACTGTGCGGTCCGTGAGCGGAGGGCAGTGGGGTGCAGCTGGCTCCCGGGGGGCCGGGCCGCCCCGACCCCCCATGCTCGGGTGGGGCGGGGGAAGCAGGGCGTCGCGGTGCAGAGCTGCCCCCTGCTGGGCGCTGCCCAGATCGACCCTCCCCGACATCCTGCTCCCCCCAGTACAGGCCCCCACCTTTGGGGAGCTGGGGTGCACAGCTCAGGAGGGGAAACTGAGGCAGGGGCGTGATTGGTGCTGGCGGCGCCGCGGCCATTGGGAGTGCTGGCATCTGGGACCCTTTGGACGCGGCTCCCCCCTCCCAGCCCTGCGGAGGGGACCCAGTGTCCGGGCTCCCAGCCCCCTCCCAGCGCTGGCCCCCCACCCGCTGTGACTCCTCCACCCGCTTCCTGGCCCAGGGCTGGGAGCGAACCCAGGTGTCCCGCACCCAGCACCACCCGGTGCCTGAGCCATTAACAGCTCGTTAATAATATTCTATTCAGCCTGTTCGTTAGCAATGATCATTATAATGAGGCAGGCAAGGAATTCCCTGCCCCTAATGAACGTGCTCCAGATTCAGCCCAGGGAGCTGTGACCAAGATTCGGTCCTGCCCCACAGCAATCCAGAGTGACTCCAGATCTACCGTAGGGGAGCTAAAGCCAGGATCTGGCCCCCAGGCCCATTGCAATCCAGAGTGACTCCAGGTTGAGACTGGGATTTGCCCCGGCCCACTGCAATACAGAGCAACTCCAGATTCACCCTAGGGGAGCTGAGACCAGGGTCTGGCCCTGCTGCTACCCCAAACAGGGCTGGCTCCAGATTGACCCCATGGAGCTGACACTAGAATCCACCCCCCAGACCATTGCAATCCAGAGTGACTCCAGATTCACCCCAGGGGAGCTGAGACTAGGATCTGGGCCTGCCATTACCACAATCAGAGGTGAACCCAGACTGATTTGAGGGGAATGGAGACCAGGGTTTGGGCCTTCCCCCCATTGCAATCCAGAGTGACTCCAGCTTGACTCTAGTGGAGCTGAGACCAGGATCCAGCCCTGCCCCTACCACAATCAGGGGTGGGTGACTCTGGATTGACCCTGTGGAGCTGAGACCAGGAGCCAGCCCCCAGCCCGTTACAATCCAGAGTGATTCCAGATTTGCCACAGGAGAGCTGAAACCAGGATCAGACCCTGCCCCTACTGCAGTTGGAGGTGGGTCTAGATTGACCTTAGAGGAACGGAGACCAGGACCTGGGCCCTGCCCCCTTACAATCCAGAGTGACTCCCAATTGACTCCAGAGGAGCTGAGGATCAGGATCTGGCCTGGCCCTATCACAATTCAGAGTCACTCTGGATTGACCCCAGTGGGGCTGAGACCAGGATTTACCCCAAGCCAGTTATAGTCAGGACTGACTCTGGATCCATTTCAGGAAGCACAACCCAGGATCCGGCCTTGGGCCTGTCCTGATTTGGAGCGACTCCTAGATTGGCCCCATGCCGCCCCAGGATCCGGCCCCAAGTCTCCTGTAACGGGGGTAACTCTGGCTTGACCCCGGGAAATGCCCCAAGGACCCAGCTCCGGGCCTCGGCAATCAGGAGTGACTCCGGCTGAGACCAGGATCTGGACCTGGGCTGGCTGCAATCCGGTGTCACTCTGGATTCTCCCTGGGCAGCTGCCTCCTGCCGCAGCCCTAGAGGTGGGGGGTGGGGGCTTTGCACAAGTTGTGATGAGTTTGCACGCCTGGGCCTGGGGGGACTTTTCACAGGCTGGGGGGGCGTTACACGGCCAAGGGGGGCTTTGCACAACAGGGGGAGCTTGCACAGATGCCGTAGACATTCGGGGTGGAGGGACCTGGCAAGGTCGTCGGGTCCAGCCCCCGCCGGGGGCAGGACCGGAGCGGGGGTCCCGGGATCCCAGCAAGACAGACGTCCAGGCGTGTGCGGAGGGTGCGCAGAGCCGGTGCCGGCACCTCCCCGGGGGTCTGCTCCAGGCCTCGGGGCCGGCCGGGAAAGTCGTGTTCCCGTGTGTCCAGCCTGACGCGTCTCGGGGGTTTGACCGCTCGACCTGGACATCCCCTGGGGCGCCCTGGTGAACAGGCGCCCCCCACCCCATCCTGCTGCACACCCCGCGAGCCTTGCACGCCGCTGCGGGGGGGTTGCAGAGATGGGGGCTTGGCTTGGCGTATGAGGGTTTGCACAGCTGGGGGGGCACTTTGCATGACTGGGGGTTGCA